GGGGCGGGGGGGCGGGTGGGGGACAAGTGGGGGTCCCGGCCAGCGCCATGGGGGCTCGCTGACCACGCCTCCTAGGTGCTGGCTCAGGTGACTTCGTGGGACTTGCCCCCACTGACTGACCGGTACCACAAGGCCTGCCAGAGCTTAGGGCAAGGTGAGGCCTCCTTCAGGACACCCACCCAGTGAGGCAGGCCTCTCTGGGTGGCGGGAGACTGGTGCCTGGCAGGGGCTAGCAGGAGGGTGGAGGGAGCACTGCCTTCAGGTTGTCCCGAGGAAGGAAGGCAGGCAGTCCGGGTCGGGGTGTGGGGGCCGAAACCTGCGGGGACATACTGAGCAACTCTCCCTGAGGCCTGAACAGTGGGGATCGGGCACCGGCTGATGGGGAGCCAGCCTGGCACGGAGAGGTGAGGGGCTTGGCCACTTGCTGACTCCGTATCCCCCACAGTGGAGCACCCGCAGGTGCTGCAGGCTGTGCAGCGCCAAGGCTCGGGCCCTACGTTCAGCGCCTGCTCCCTGGCTCTACGCCAGGCTCAGCTCACCCCCCTGCTACGGGCCCTAAAGCTACACGCCGCCCTCCGGGAGCTGCGGCTGGCTGGGAACCGACTGGAAGACGCCTGTGTTGCTGAACTGCTGGCCACCCTGGGCACCATGCCTGGGCTGGCCGTCCTCGACCTCTCCTCCAACCACCTGGGCACGGCCGGCCTGCGCCAACTTGCCTCGGGCCTCTCAGAGCAGGCTGCTGCTCAGGTAGGGCCACAGCAGGGCCTGGGGTGGGCTCCCTGGAGAGGGAGCTGGACTCTGGAGACCATACTGGTTTGTGTCTCGTGCAGAGCCTGCAGGAGCTAGACTTGAGCATGAACCCCCTGGGAGAGAGCTGCGGCCCAGCTCTGGCCTCTCTCCTTCGGGCCTGCCCCATGCTCAGCACCCTGCGCCTCCAGGCCTGCGGCCTCGGCCCCAGCACCTTCCTCAGCCACCAGGCAGCCCTGGGCGGGGCCTTCCAAGGTGAGGCAAGGAGAGGACCTGGCCGGGTATGGGTCAGCCTGGTGTGGAACCTCCAGTGTTCCCGTTGGGAGGCAGCCCAGGCTGCAGAGTGGCCAGGCTGTGTCAGGAGCTGAGGGGCAAGCTTGTCCAAGGAGGCTCCTGCAGACAGAACAGTGTCCAACTCTGCCCCCACCCCACCCCTGGCCTAAAGTACCACCACAGGCTAATGCCTGGCCCCTCCTGTCAAGGGGTTACTCAGGGTAGCAGGAGACCTGGCTCCAGAGTCACCCTCCAGTCCAGGCCCACTTTCCCAGCCCAAATAAGGAGGTCCATGGTGGGGCTGGGACTCTCGTGGGCTGAGAGAGGCCTTGGCCTGTGCAGGTGCCGAGCACCTGAAGACACTGTCGCTGTCCTACAATGCCCTGGGTGCCCAGGCCCTGGCCCCGGCTCTGGCCAGCCTGCCCTCCCGCTCCCTCCTGCACCTGGAGCTCGGCTCCGTGGCCTCCAGGAAGGGCGATGCAAGGCTCGTGGAGCCCGTGGTCAGGTATCTGACTCAGGTACGGGGGTCCAGGCGCCCAGGGCTGTTCATGAGATCCCGAGGCCGGTGGGTGGGGGAGAGCGGGAAGAAAAGCTGCAGGGGTTGCTGCATCCCCACCCACATGCCCAGCAGCTGGTCCCAGGGCTCTTGGGGACCCTGGACATCTCCTCATGGTGTGCTGAGCTGGACTCAGTCCTAGGAGGGCAGAAACTTCCAGCCTTTCTGAATTCCAGACTGGGGGCGGGCTCCCCTCTGGCTGGGGTGCCAGGTTTCCTCCCCCAATGTTGCGATGGCCCCCTGGTGACCTGGCCACCCCTGCTGCTGCTGCTGTGTTTAGGACGGCTGTGCACTGTCACACTTGGGCCTGTCTGGAAACCAACTGGATGACAAGGCGGCAAGAGACCTGAGCAGGTGACACCGTGTGGGGGCTATAGAGGGGTATGAACACCCTGAGATCAGGCTGCAGCCCACTTCTGTATTACCCTGTGTCCCAGCACCCCCTCCTCCTGGCTCTTCCCTGGGACTGCCCCTGTCACTCAGTTTGCAGCAAAGCACTGGCGCCCTGGCTGGCTCTAGCAGGTCATCAGCAGGCACCTGAGCTGGGCCTGACACCCAGCAGCACTGGCCAGGGAAGAGCTAGGAGGCTCTGGCCCAGGAAACTGACTACTGTTCTCCCATGGACCTCTCAGATGTCTCCCCGCCTGCCCCTCACTGGTCTCGATGGACCTGTCTGCCAACCCTAACATCAGCAGGGCCGGCCTGGAAGAGCTCCTGTCTGCCCTCCAGGAGCGGCTCCAAGGCCTCACCTTCCTCAGCCTGTCAGGTGAGGGCCTAGGCCCTCCCCTGCCACTGATGCACCTTTTCCAGCACCCCCAAGACAGGCGGGGGACGGGGGTGGGCAGCTCCGGGGAGTGGCCTCAACCTCTGGCCTGCTGCCTGATCTGATCCAGGGTGGGAAGAGGGAGGCCCAGCTGCGACTGCTGTGACCATGTGTAGCTTCTCATCCTGGCTGCACGAGGGCACAGACTGCTACCCCAAGAATGTCTGAGAACTGCCTGCCTAGCAGCCCACCCAGGGGGCTCTGCCTCACGGGGCTCATCTCCAGAACAAGGGGCTGTGGGGAGTATACATGGGGGACCCCCTGGCTGCCTCCTGCAGGAGACCCAGTGCTGAGACACCTGCACTCTGCTGAGGGCTGTTCCCTATGGGCCCAAGCCCTGGTGTCCACTCCTAACCACCCAGCTCTCAGGGCCCTACCCTGCTAGAGGCACCCTGACTTGAGAACCAAATGTCGGCAGTCTAGTTCCTGGACCAACTGGGACCCACAGTTAAGAGGCTCAGGCACCATTTACATTACACCCTTCGTAGATGGGAAAATGAGGCAGAGGTTTACCCGAGCACTTATGCATGCCTTCCTCCTGCCGCATTACTGGTTTAAGCTCACGCGCGTGGGAGCCCCCTGGGACCTGTGGCAGGGCGCAGAAACACCAGGTCCTGCTCTTGCTGCCCCACAGGCTGCGCAGTCCAGGGCCCTCTGGGCCTGGGGCTCTGGGACAAGATCTGCAAGCACGTGCAGGAGCTGCAGCTGTGCACCCGCCGCCTCACCCCTGAGGACCCGGCAGCCCTGCGCCAGGTGCTGCCCTGCCACTCGGACCGCAGCGCGTGCACGCTGGATCGGGGCTCCAAACTCCTCTACCGGTGCCTCTGACCAGCCAGCTCCACTGCCGGGACATTTCAAAGCCCTCAATAAATGAGCTTGCTGCCTCTGCCCTGGCTGTTTGAAGTGGGGTGGTGGCCCGCTGCGGTCTGGGAGTCCAAATCCCTGAGAACCTGGGCGGGAGGTGGCGCTCCGGAGCGGGCTGGGTTCGCGCCCCTGTTTCCAGGCGCCGGCGTGGCCAGCAGCCTGAACTGCCCCGCCCCTCGGCGCAGGCGTGCAAGGCGAGCGCCGAGCGAGCCGTTCGTACGCGTGCGCAGGCTGGAGAGGCGCGCGCCGGGCAGTCGATCGGGATCTCCGCCCCTGGCGCCATCTCCCCGACCTGCCGAGCCCGCCAGGTACCTCAGGTCGCGTGGGCTGGGAGGGCCTCTGACGGGGGCGTAGTCATGGGACCCGTCCCTCGCCGGACTGCCCCGTTCCGAGGCCTCCAGGGCGGGACTGCACCCTGCCGGTCCACTTGGGGCTGATCGCGGAGCCCCTGGGCGTCCCAGGCCCCGCTCCCCGTCAGCCCGAGCCCTGCGCAGTCCAGAGGCCAAGTGTCCTGCCCTCCCGACCCGTGTCGCCACCACTGCCGGCAGGGCGGTGGTCGCAGACTCACCTGGTGGTTCGTCTCCTGGCCGGAAACTCGCCGAGTGCCCCCGCACCCCGTGGGGTTCGCCACCGCGGCTCACCCTCCCCCGTCCGCCCTCCTCAGAATTTGAGGACACAGCCCCCGCCCCCTTTAGGGGAAAGGTCTTTGGATTCACTCGAGGCCATTCTTAACCTTCCTGCTGCAGCAGCTCGCCGCACGGTGACCCGAAGAGCCAGCCCTCTCTCGTGCCAAACCAAGACCCCCACACCTGGGGCTGCCCCTCTCTAGGCCTGACCATAGTGCTGGAAGCAGGGCTGTCAACCCTTCCTCCCAGCCTTAGACTCCTGGTCCACATCCTGCCCCAGCTCCAGCCACCCCCACCCCCGACTAGGGGACACCCCTGATGCAAGTCTCTCTCTGGCCCATTGCCCCCCTAAAGGCCCTGTTTGGTTGGAGCCTTTCTGAGTGGCCCCCTGGTGAATCTAGTGCCCCTGCTCCCCGGATCTCTGCTGCGCTTGACCTGCTGGAGCCTCCAGCATGTTCCACGGGATCTCCGCCACGCCAGGCCTAGGAGGTGAGTGTAACCGGAGCTCTGTCCAGGCTCTCGGGACCTTGGGGTAGCCAGAATGCAGGCCTGAGTCTGGCCAGAACCTCGGTGTCCTGAGTCCCAAGGGAGCCTGGGTCCTGCTTGTGCCACGTCCTGGTGCCCACACCAGATGCTGCTATCCATTATGCAGGTGAGGGGACTCGGGATCTGTGACAGGGAGCCAGTGTCCTCTGGCAGGCTGATGAGGGGGCATCTCCCAGCCCCTGCGGTTCTTTGGGAGATGGCAAAGAACTGTGCCTGGAGCAGGGGGTCGGGGGTGGAAGGGTGCCTCCTCGGCCCCCTGCCAGCCTGCCTGCCTTCTTTCAGCTCCTGCGAATAAGCCCGAGCTGTATGAGGTGAGTACAGCCACTCCTCGGGGCCTTGCTCTGCCTCCTTGGCAACAGACTGACACGCTGTCCATTCTCTCCACAGGAAGTGAAGCTGTATAAAAATGCCCGGGAACGAGAGAAGTGAGTCAAGGGTTGCCGCCGCCCCCGCCCCCCCCATCTGAGTCAGGGAGGCCAGTGCTCAGGGCACCGTTGTTGCGGGCCGGGCAGCAGGCAGAGCCCATTTCCACTCAGCCTCGCCCTCCGTGGGTAGGGTCTGACGGCACCTGCTTGCAGGTACGACAACATGGCGGAGCTCTTCGCAGTGGTGAAGACGATGCAGGCCTTGGAGAAGGCGTACATCAAGGACTGTGTCACCCCCAACGAGTGAGTTCCCCCGGGCACGGCACACTGCCCAGGGCCTCTGGCCAGCCAGCTGCTGCCTGCAGGGCCGCAGTGGCCAGGGAAGTGGGAGCAGGAGTCTGAAGGCTCCGGCAGGCGTTACCGATAGAGATGCCAGAGGAGGGGAATGCACCCCACCATGTTCCCTTTGGAGCCCCCATCTGTAAGCAGGGCTCACGCAGCCTCCAAGGCCTGCTGCTCTGGGGAAGGGCTAGATAGCCCCATCCTGTGATCTGGTGGTGAGGTTCACGCCCAGGCCAGGGGCAGAGGCCCACTCCCCAGAACCCGCCCACTTGTAGCACATCTGCCCCAAGCCTTCTCACTGGACAGCTCTTGGTGACCTGGGGTGAAGGCTCCCAGTTCCTCTAACCTGCCACCTAGGTCCCCTTCTTTCTGGGTGAGTGGTCCCAGGGGCCTGGCCAGCTGTGAGTTTACTCAGTCCTCCTTCCCAGGTACACAGCTGCCTGCTCCCGGCTCCTGGTCCAATACAAAGCCGCCTTCCGGCAGGTCCAGGGCTCAGAGATCAGTTCCATTGATGAGTTCTGCCGCAAGTTCCGCGTGAGTTCTGGGTCCTCAGCTCCCACATGTTGGGTGGGAGGGTTGGGGGGCACCAGCCCAGGCATCATGCCCTGAGGCCCAGTACCCACCCCCTCCCTGCAGCTAGACTGCCCGCTGGCCATGGAGAGGATCAAGGAGGACCGACCCATCACGATCAAGGACGACAAGGGCAACCTCAACCGCTGCATCGCGGATGTTGTCTCTGTGGGTGCCCACCCCGCCCACCCCATGGCGCCACCTGCAGCTTCCTGAGCTGGGTGGGACCATGCTTTGTTGGCAGAGGGAAGGGGACTGGGTAGGGTCTCCAGGCAGATGGGAGGACTGTTCTTTGGGGTGCCCACGGGATGGGCACGGGTTACACCCCATGGCAACCTCTGGTCACACCTGTCCTATCCTTGGGGGAGGGCGCTGTCACCCACTACCTCCACTGTGGCTGGGATGAGTGACAGAGCTGTTGGCTCCCTGAGACAGATGCCCTCAGGAGGTGTGGGGGGCAGGTGCTGTGAGGAGGGCTCAGTGTAGACCGGGCCAAGCCTGGAGCCCAGAAGGGGAAGGGCTAGGCAAACATGGTGGCCCTTTACACTCCCCAGCTCTTCATCACGGTGATGGACAAACTGCGGCTCGAGATCCGAGCGATGGATGAGGTGACTGCTGCCTCCTGTGGGGATGGGGCGAGGCAGGGTGCCCAGGGCAGGGTCCCACCAGTGTTGTCGCTTGTCACAGATCCAGCCTGACCTTCGCGAGCTGATGGAGACCATGCACCGCATGAGTCACTTGCCCTCTGACTTTGAGGGCCGCCAGACGGTCAGCCAGTGGTGAGTGCCCATCGCTACTGCCCTAGTGGGCACCACCCAACCCTTTGAACTTCTGCCATCACCACACTGTCCCCTGGCTGCAGCACACACACACACGTGCCATCCGCAGGCTGCAGACCCTGAGCGGCATGTCGGCCTCAGATGAACTGGACGACTCCCAGGTGCGCCAGATGCTCTTTGACCTAGAATCGGCCTACAATGCCTTCAACCGCTTCCTGCACGCCTGAGATCCAGCCATGCCCACCTGACCCCACTTCCTGCACGCCCCCGAGATCCAGCCATGCCCGCCCCAGCCTGTTTCTGTGCGTCTCACTGCCTGTGGCCTCACTGGGAGCCCCGAACCCACCACAATAAAGATGTTGGTCTCTCCCTGTGTTGTGGGGTCTCTACAGTTCTTTTACCCTCCGGGCCTGGCCATATCCTGGAAGGCGATATGGGTGCAGGGCCCAGCCAGCACTGCCCTAAGTTCTTCACACGGTTGCTGTACCAGGAAGGCCCAGATGAGGGGAACAGCCGGTCACCTGAGGGCCAGCCTCCGTGTTGGCAGCTGTATTTCCGGAACACCTGAGCCAGGTGTGGCTTCCATCGAGAAGCCACAGCTACCCATCCCAGGCCCCCACTTAGGCGCTGGCTCCTTGGTTGTGCAGTGGACACGAGGCTTGGCCTATTAGGTAGCTAGCACAGGGACGGGTGTCCATTGTGCATGCCCAGAGGTTCGAGTTCCCGGCCAGGAAGGGGTGGTACGCCTAGATGGGGGGTGCATCTGGATTGGCCCATCTATGCCTGGTGAATTTGATTCAGTCAACGGGGTCGGCGACCGGCATTGTCAACCATGCCTCCCAATGGGGGGCAGGTACTGGGAAGCGGGGGCCCGGCCGGAAAAGCCAGGGGTTTTCCCTCTCCCAGCGGCTCCGACAGTGCAGCGTGGCCGGGCACTGTTCCCCACATTTGTGCCTCGTCTACCCTTTATAAACTCACGTGGCTCACAAACCAGGCTTCGGCGTGAATTCTTTCTCTCAAGAAGCCAAGGACTGAGGTATCTCTCCCAAGAGAGACCTAACCACCACCACCACCCCTTCCTAGGGCTGGGTGCCCCATCACTCCCACATGAGGAAAGGGAGATAGGACGCGACATCACACCACAGGCTGAATGTGTTCACACCAAAGTGTTTTTCTTTCTCGGTCTAGCCACTGGGGTCCGGCAGGCAGGTGGGCAGTGTGTAGCTTCCTCAGCAGGTGTCCCTTGGGAAGCCACTTGAGACAGGAAGGGATTGACAGGTCCATCCAGAGGCTGCTGGTGGGGTGGAGGTGGGGCATGGAGGGAGTGTTGACATGCACAGCACCTGGGTAAAGGTGAGGGCCTGCAGGTCATAGGCCGCTGTCCAGCTGCTGGCTAGACAGGCTGGATGTAGAGAGAGAGCTGGTGTGAGGTGCAGTTGTCAGGCTGTCCGTGGGTCCCAGGGCCTGCAGGGCTGGGCAAGAAAATGGGTGGGGCGGGCAAGACGGGGCTGATGAGGGAGGGAAAGCCCTGCAGGGGCTGCAGGAGGACCACCGCAGAGTGGGCCTGAGGAGGAGCTGGAAGGGGGCCAGGGACTGAGGTGACCTGGTCTTCCTGGCCTGGAAAGGTGATGGGAGGCTGCCAGAGAGGTGAGGTGGGAGGTGCGGCGGAGCTCAAAGTGCAGAGGAGGGGTGGGTGACAAAAGGAGGCATGCCCAGGGGAGGGGAGCAAAGTGGGAGGGTCACACCAGCTGACCAGCACTGGACACTGGCCTTTCTGGGGAGGGGGGGGCTTCCCTCTGCTCACCGATCAACTGCCAGGTCCTGGCATCTTGCCCCACCTTTGCCCAGCAGTTCCCCGTGGATCTCTGCATGTCAGGTTGCCTGTGTTACTGACCGAAGGGCCACTGTGCGTTGCCCGTACATGCGTGTACATGGCACGCGCGTCTCCGTGTGTGTACGCACCGTTTGGAGAAGGCCCAGAGCCCAGGACATTTGGTATCTGCTTCCCAGGCAGGAGCTGAGATCCTCAGTGCCACGCCTCACCTTGGGCACAGGTCCAGCGGACAGAGTCCTCCCACCCAGCCCAGGGGCCCCAGGGCAAACACCCAGCCGCCCCCCGCCCCAACCGCCCCCCTGCGCACCTCAGGGCCTGGGGCCAGGGTTTGGCTGAGCTGGCATGGCAAGGGGCATGTGTGATGGCACCTGTGTCCCTGGCTGACCAAGGTGTCAAGAGGCGAGGCCCTCCTGAGACCTGCAGCACCGGGACAGAGTTCTATCAACCTGGGGACTCAGCAGAATCGGGAGCCAGAGATAAGGCCCGAGGGTACAAAGGCCAAGGAGTGATTGGGTAGAGTGGGTAGTGCTGGCCCAGCCTTCTTCCCTTCTTCCTCTGCAAGATCCGGGCCCCTGCCCCTGGCCCGGCCTGACCAGGGGCACTGCCCACAGGTGGATGGCCAAACTTCCTCATTCCCTCCTGCTTGCTTGTCTAGGCCCTGTCCTTGACCCTGGAGAGCTGGGGGGGGCACTGAGCTTCTCCCCAGGAGCATGCCTGTTTCCGCCCCACCCGCCCTGGAGGAGGCCTTCCACCCCCATGGAGAAACTGAGTGGTTGGGCCAGGAAAGTTCGGAGGGAGTGGCTAGGAATGTCCCCGGAAGGGCCATCACCTCTGTCCCCAAGCCCCAGAGGGCTACAGGGGTTAGGGAGTGGGGGTATCTGGAGGCCCTGGCTGGAGTGGAGGAGAGGAACCCTGCCCCCTCAAAGGCCAAGCACCCCCTAATCCCACACACACACTATCTGGGCGTTTCTGCCACTTGAACGGTTAACCTGAAGTCACTGCTCGCAGCCAATCACAGAGCCCTGTAGAAAATACCTGAGCAGCCCTGCCAGGCCCATCCACTCAGCCTCAGTCTGTCCCCAGCAGCTCTCTGCTCGCAGCCACCGGACACCACCTCGTCCCAAACTGAGTGCAGGCCCTGCGCATGGCTCACGGGGCCCAGCTCCGCTGGACACTGCTGCTCGGGGCACTGCTGGTGGTGCGGGCAGCAGCGACGCCCGCCCGCCTGCTGCCCATGCTCACATCGGGCAGTGGCACTCTGGACCAGGAGGCGCTGGGCGGCCTGTTAAATACACTAGCGGCCCGTGTGCACTGCGCCTCTGGGCCGTGTGGAAAGGTAACAGCCTGGTGCCCTGGCCCTCCCCCCCCACACCCTCCAGCAGAGGGCCCTGGGCAAATTCCAGGGGGCGGGCGGGCTGGAGCCTGGGGGAGGCCACCAGAGCGGGTGGGCCCAGCCCAGTGCCCTTGCCGCCATCCCTGGGTGGTAGGTCGGTGTGGAGGTAACTGGGGGCCCTCACCCACCTGCCCCTCTGCCGCCCGCAGTGTCTCTCCGTGGAGGATGCCCTGGCCCTGGGTAGGGCCAGGTCACCAGGGCTCCCCTCAGAGTTGGTCCTGCACGCTAGGGACGCAGCCCGCCTCAGTGCAGCGGCTGCCCTCTACCTCAGCGACCCCCACGGCACCTGTGAGGACATCCAGGCTGGCCACTGGGGCTCCCATGCCGACCACCTCTTGGCCACACTTGAGGGCCCCACGGCCCTGGCCCTGGGCCTCAGCCAGCTGCTCAGGAAGATCCAGGCCCAGGCGGGCACGGAGGACGCCACTGCGGAGGTGAAGCTTGGGGGCCCCCGGTGAGGAAGGGCGGGGCGGGCCCAGACGGACAACATCTGGCAGAGCCTTTGGGGAAATTCCAAGCTCTCTGGGGGAGCGTCCAGGGGAGACAGCTGGGAAAGGGAGCCACAGATACCAGCAGGCGGGGCCAAGCCCGCCTGGGCGCAGAGCCGGGGAGACTGCAGGGAGGCTGGGGCCTCGAGCGGGTGGACAGCATGCTGGGGTTCCGGCTCAGCCACCAGGGATAGCGGCTGTTCTCACGCAGGCCTGCGTGGAGGTGCCTCAGCTGCTGGAGGAGGCTGCGGTGGAAGGCCCTGGGGGCCCAGGCGCGGCCCTAGCCGCCCTCCTAGACCACGTCCAGAGCGGCGACTGCTTCCACGCCCTGCCCACCCCCCAGTACTTCGTGGACTTTGTGTTCCGGCACCACACCAGCGAGGCCCCCAACATCACAATGCCTGGTGAGGCCTGATGGCTGGGTGGGGCTGCGGGGCCGGGCTGAGAAGGGTCCAGCCCCGGAGCCTGCATCTCCGCATCCCTTTCCTGGAGGACCCAGGCAGCCGTGCCCTGCAGATGTGATGTGCTGGCCACGGCCTATGCCCTCTTTCCAGAGCTAGCCACCTTGATGCAGAGCCTAGGAGTGGGTGGAGGGGAGGAGCTCCTGGAACTCCAGGACCACAGTGACCTCAGCGACCACGATCACCGCCACCTGGACAGAGGGGCCTCAGGGAGATGGAGCCACCAGGGCCTTGTGCCCCCTGCCACCCCCAACAGCAGCTTGAGTGTGTGGGACACGGTGAGCCCTCTGTGTGGGCATCCTGGGGAGGGGGCACTACAGTGCTGTGCAGTCCTTGCATCCCACCCTGCCCTGTCACCCAGGTGTGCCTGAGCCCCAGGGACGTGATGGCCGTGTACGGGCTGTCGGAGCAGGCCGGGGTGGCCCCAGAGGCCTGGGCCCGGCTCAGCCCTGCCCTCCTGCAGCAGCAGCTGAGTGGGGCCTGCAGCCCCCAGCACAGCCCCCAGACCCAGACCCAGCTCAGCCACATGGAGAGTGAGTGCGGCAGCCCCCCACCCCATCTGTTTCTGCCTGTCTGTGCCTAGGGCGCTGGCAGTGTGTGGGTCAGGGGGGATGATGTTGGGCCTGGGAGGTGGGGGGGTGTCTCAAGGCCCCTGGCAGGGATGAGAGGGGCTGAGGCAAAAAGGAGCCCAGGGGAACAGAGGCTGGGCCCGGGCAGGGCAGGAGCACAGCAAGCGGCCCTGGCCCCGCCCCAGCGTACCTATACAGCTCCCTGGCCACACTGCTCATCTGCCTGCTCCCCATGCTGGGCCTGGCACTACTGCTCTGCGCCCGCCACCCTGCCACCACCCACTACACCATCCAGACCCTTCTCAGCATGGCAGTGGGAGCGCTCACCGGAGACGCCCTTCTGCACCTGATGCCTCAGGTGGGCTCCTGCCAACCAGCCCCTCACTCTGCCCCAGGGCACGCCCTTCTGGGCAGGGAGAGCGGTCTGTCTGACCCAGGACACCCCCGCCCACTCCACCCCTAGGTGCTGGGGCTGCATGGCATGGACCATAGCCACGGGGGGGCTGCCCTCGGTTCCCAGCACACCTGGTGCCTCCTGGCCATGCTTGGTGGCATCTACGCCTTCTTCCTCTTTGAGAACCTCTTCAACCTGTTGCTGCCCCGGGACCCAGAGGTCAGGCTTGGGGCTGGCGGGTGGGCAGGAGGAAGAGGCTGGAAAGCAGAGTCTGAGCCTCTGTCCACTAGGAGGGCCACAGCCACAGCATGTCCCTGCAGCTGAAGCCCCACCAGCGGTCTCAGGAGGGCTCGCGGGCAGACCTGGTAAGCTGGCATCCTGATGCCCAGCCCCAAGACCCCGCCCCTCCCACATGTCCATGCCCTGCCTGAGCCTCACCTCCACGGATCCCCACCCCCAGGTGGCTGAGGGAAACCCTGACCTGCTCAGCCCTGTGCCCCGGAAACTCAACCCAGGTGAGCACCGGGGCACCTAGACTGCTGACACCGGCACCTGTCCAGTTTGGTGTGGACCGTGGGCGGAGGGCTGGGCACGGGAGGTGGGGGCTGTGCACCCCAGCCCATGAAAACCCCACACACAGAACTGCGGCTCCTGCCCTATATGGTCACTCTGGGCGATGGTGTACACAACTTCGCCGACGGGCTAGCCCTGGGCGCGGCCTTCTCGACCTCCTGGAAGACCGGCCTGGCCACCTCTCTGGCAGTCTTCTGTCACGAGCTGCCCCACGAGCTCGGTGAGCGGGCGGCGTCGGCCGGGGGCAAAGGGAGCGCAGGGAGGGCGGGCACTGCAGGGCACTGGGCGGCAGCCGAGACCCGACTCTGTCCCAGGGGACTTCGCAGCCCTGCTGCACGCCGGACTGTCGGTGCGGCGCGCGCTGCTGCTGAACCTGGTCTCAGCCCTGACCGCCTTCGTGGGCCTCTACGTGGCGCTGGCCACGGGCGTGGGCGAGCACAGCCACACCTGGATCCTGGCCGTGGCCTCAGGCCTCTTCCTCTACGTGGGGCTCTGCGACATGGTGAGTGGGGGCGGGCGGCCACGGATTGGGGGGCGGCCACAGGGGCAGAGCTGACCGACCCATCGCCCCCAGCTTCCTGCCATGCTGCGAGAGCGCGACCCACGGCCCTGGCTCCTCTTCCTGCTGCACAACCTCGGCCTGCTGGGCGGCTGGGCAGTGCTGCTGCTGCTGTCCCTGTACGAGGACAGAATCATGCTGTGACCAGTCACCCCTACAGCCCGAGGCGAGTCGAGCCCCTGCCAGCTGCCGCCCAGCCTCAATAAAGAAGCCTTGTTCCCAGCACCAGGCCTGGTCTCGGGGTCCTTTGTGGTGGTGGGATGGTGGGGTAGGGGGGACTTGGAGGCGGCTGCTGTCTTCCTCACTCTGCCCAGGTCCTCTTGGTGACCGACCCCTCTCTGTGCTGGTGAGGGCACTGGTCACACTCACCGCATCGGTTGCGGATGATCCTGTTTACAAATAAAACCACGTCCCCAGCTTCTGGAGGTGGTGAGTTGGGACGCCAGCATCCATCGATTTCGGAGAGACACCATTCACCCTATACCCGCCCTCATGACGCAAAGGGGCTGCCAGAGCACTAGTCACCGCACGCCTTTTCCGAACAGAGAAAGGAGGTGGGAGGAGGAGTCTGAGGAGGACTTCAGACCCAGCTTCCCAGTCACCAAACCCTCGGCCAATGCTTGTGGGGGAAGACCTGGGGCAGGACAGTGCAGAGCTGCCCCTGTGGGTTTCGCGGCGGTCAGTCTTTGCAGGGGCAGACAGCCTCATCTTCCTCCAGAAGAGCAGCTGGGGAGTTCCGGCTGATTAGCAACCCAGCGTGCAAGCAATGATGCCACCAGGGCCCCTTACTTTAAACTACAGGGCCCCTTATTGGACCAAGACTGTCTTCCAGGTGAGGGAGACACTACGGTGTGCCCAGCGCTGGAGTTCGTGGCACAGGGTAGAGACTAGTGGGAGTCACAAGGCCACACTGGTGGCCAGCCACAGCATCACTGTGGACAATGGAGCTACGGGTCCAGGGCTGGGATAGTTATGTAAGGTTTCTCCAGTGGGTAAGACCTCAGTTCTCGGCTTCACCAAGACTTCACGCCAATGCCCCTTTTGTAACCCAAGTGGGCTTTTACAAAGGATGGGACAAGTTTCAGGTTTTACAGTCTCAAAAGAGAACATGCTATTTCAGGGAAGCGTGCTGAGCTGGCGCTCGAACCTGGACACAAGCAACTCCTGGAAGAGTGCACCCACGTGTGCGGAACTGGGGGAGGGGTCCCAGGGGCCTAGGGGTCTAGGAAGAAAGGGCAAGAGGCCTGGGACCAGAGAGTGCACCTGAGAGGGGAGGGGGAAGGGACCCCACCCTCCAACCTGCCCCTGACCAGGAGCAGGGTAAAAGGGACAGCCTTGTGCCTCCAGGCTACTTTAGACCTCTGGCTGGGGAGGCGTGGCTGAAGGTATTGCTTGGCCCCATTGGCTGGGTTGAGCCCACCTGGGTGTTGTCATGTGTCTGGGCCCAGTTTGGACCGCCCAGATGTGTCTCTCCCCAGCATGGGGACTTGAAATGCTCAGTCAGGGTCCACTAGTCGCCTGAGTTCTTCCCAACCTCCTCTGTGGGCACCTGTGCAGGCATGGGAGGGACGACCCCCTTGTCCCAGATCTAGCTACCTAACAGGTACATAAGTGTAAGCGGAAAAGGTACAGTTTGGCTTCTGAGGCTTTGCCTACCTGGCTGTGTGGTGGTCTGGATAGGAGTCAGGACCAAGCCACCCTGAGTTATCGTCGTCACCAGGTGGCTGCAAGGAGTAGGAGGGCACACAGCAGCACCTGACTGGCTAAACGTGGCAGATGCCTAGCAGGTCCCCTAGCTCTTTGTGCCGGCCCTGGGGAACCAGCCCAGTGACATGTGCACCTGTCCATCGGGGGCAGAATGCCTGCCAAGAGGGCGTCCGCACCGCTGCAGAGCAGCAAGTTCACGCTGACTCCAGTCCGTGAGTCAGATGCTAAGCGGAAGGCCCTTCACAGCTCACACTGCTGCTGGCTAGAGTTCTAGGAAGCAGGAGACCGGTGGAAACAGTCAAGGGGCTCTAATGTCAGCAGGCAGCATGCCAGGCCACCAGCAGCTACCAAGGTCGGCTGACCACATGGTGGGCTGTTGGCCCCACCCCATCAGATGCAGGGTCCAGGCAGGCCGAGGAAGAAGAGGGAGCCAATGCTCCAGTCTATTTATAGAGATGAAATAGGCCACACCTCCAGCAGACATCATCAAGCTGAGGCCTGGAGCTTGCTGTCCCACTACTGAAGATCTGAGGGTCCCTGATGGCGTAGTGCTTACGTGTTGGGCTGCCAACCACAAGGCCAGCAGTTTGAAACCACCAGCGGCTCTGTGGCAGACAGCTGAGGCTGCTTTCTACCTCCATAAAGAGTTACTGTCTCGGAAGCCCACCGGGGCAGTTAGTTATACCCTGCCCTACAGGGCTGCTACAAGTTGGCAGTGAGGGTGAGGACTGAGGATCTGGCCCACCCGACTGTTGCAGTAGTTAGCCACACTGCTTTCAGCCCCGGCCTCCCATTGGGCTACAAGCTCCAAACACTCCAAACGCTGGTCGCAAGCAGTCAGGAATAACAGGGAGAGCTCCCTGGCTTCCCGACAGACACGGAGTTAGGTTCCCACGTCCACAAGCCAAGCGCAGCAAGGCCAAAGCTGAACCACAAGGGCACGTGCCTCCAGGGGTCACTCTGACGGGCAGCTTGTTGAGCCCACCTGTGCTGGAGCAGTTGGCAAAGAAGGCTCCTCTGCCAGGCGACTAAGGCAAACTAGACAGGAGGGACCACGTCCGAGTCACCAGACCTGACACCGGCCTCCGGGCCCACGATGTCTTACCTTCTCTCCTAAACCCAATCCGTCCACTCCCAGCATGGGCTGGCCCGGGTGCCCCTGGGGATGGCTGGGACAGCAGTGGACCCTGCAGGCCCGCCAGGGGCAAGGCTCTATGGGCACATGCTGCAGGGCTGTGGGAGAATGCAGCTGGGAGGGGTCTCTGCAATGATGCCGAATGCAGGACGACCACAGGCCAGTGGGTAGAAAGTCTTTGGATCCAGTGGCATTGGAAACATCTCAGCCTTGGCCCTGGCAGCGGTTTCTGCATGGCTTCCCAGGGTTGCATAAGGGTGGGTCCAGGTGTCTTGTCAGCTGCTATGCCTCACAGGGTGTGAGGAGGAAGTGCCGATTTCCCAGAATTCTCAGAGAAGGCCATGCCCACACAGAGGCCTCATTGGCTATGATCTGATTGACAAGCTAGACTCCACCCCGGTAGTCTTAATCCTCAAATTGACAAACGATTATGGATCTCCCACAGAGGCTGTGACCTTCTCTCTGGTTTTTAAAGGTAAAGTTTCATGTTTATTTTGCCTGTGTGTGCACCTGTGTCCTGCGGTTTGTGGGATGTAACAGTTGCGGAGAAGAGTGCGCTCTGTGTAGTCACACAGCCCATCTGGTCAAGCCACACCCAGTCCTTAGACCCTTCACCCATGCGTTCCTTGGTCCGCATCCCCCGCTCCTCCCTCCAGTTTCCTGCCTCTCCCTGCCCTTGCCCCTGCCTCTGGCCTCCTTAGTCTTTAACATTTCATCCTTTGGGGTGAAAACCATTTTTCTTTCTAACTTTGAGGTTGACTAACTTTGCAGAGCTTATTGTTTTCCAACGTTATCCATATTTTAAGTCGTTTAACAGATTCGTCCTTGTTTTGAATGGTGTACGACCTCCCCTCGGATGGATGCTGCGCCAGAGTTGACTTACCCAGCCCTCTGTAGCGTTTGAGTGTCTCCATCTTTCGGCTATTACAGAAAGTACCTCCATAAACGTAGATGTGCATGTGTCAATTTGTGTCTTGTTCTTCATTCCGCGCTTCCTCTCATTTTGAGGTGTGCCCATCAGCAATGAAGGTCAAGCAAACGTTGTTCCATCCACATTTTTAAGGTTTGTGGAGGCAGCTCTTCCCTGGGCATATTGGGAGCAAATCTGGCACTGTCTCAGACGATGGCCTGCTGAAAGCAGGTGGATCCCTCAGAAAGGGGCTGCCTGGCCCTAGTCAGCCTTAGTCTGGAAGTTCAGCTGAAACATTCTCACCCTGGGTGACCTGCTGGTATTTGAAATACCGGTGCCATAGCTTCCAGCATCATAATTACGTGCAGACCACTACCATACCGGTTGGAACCACTAAAGGCAGACCAGTAATGGGAGACGGAATCGACATTTAAAGCAACATTTCAGCGGCATTCACGACTGTGAGAGGTCAACACTGGGACACTGAGTGGAGATCCGATTGAGACAAAGAACGTGAGGTTCAGAGCGGCTTTCTTCGGGCAGGGAAAGAGCTCCGAGAGGGAAGGGAGGGGAGAGCAGAGAGAGGGACAGGCATCTTGAGCTCCTGGGCGGTTCCGAGACCGGAGTTGGGTCAGGGCAGTCGCAGCTTGTCCGTGAGGCGGTGGGAGATATAAAACGCTGGAGCTGGGAGGTGTACGCTGACAACAGGAAGGGAGATTTTTTGCTTGCAGCTGCAGGACCTTGAGTCAGGCTGCATTCCGTGGGAAGTGCCTTTGTGTTTGCCACCCTCCTCCCTGGAGTGCCGGGCAGGGCTGCACAGCCTTGGTCTGGGGAGAGAAGCTCCTTGGAAGGCTGGGGCAGGAGATGGACGTCAGTAGTCATTCGTCCTCCCGAGAGGCTGGACACGGGGCCTTGCAGTTCTATCCTCCTGAGGAGCCGGAGAGGAGATGGGGGCTGCGTAGTCCGGACCGGCCCAAACAGACTGCAGGACATGCAGACCGAGTTAGCGGTCACTCACCATCCCCAGGCCCTGGCGACCTCTTAACCAGTTGACGCCCATGGATTTACCAGTTCCTGTTTCACAACAAGGAGACCCTGCACGACTGGCCTGCTATGCCCCACTGCTTTCATGCGGCACCACGGGTTCCGGCGCACGGACAAGGACAGCCGTTTGTCATTCCTTTTTGGCTAAAAAATACCCCATTCTGTGTGCAAATCCATCACATTAAAAAAAATCATTTTATTGGAGGCTCTTAGGTCTTATCACAAGCCATATACACATCCATCGTGTCAAGCAGATCCGTACACCATCGTTTTCAAAACATTTTCTTTCTACTTGAGCCCATTCCCTCCCTCCCTCTCCATCACGTGCTGTGTGTGCATGCACCTTGGCTTCGGAGCCTTTGGGAACAAAGTTCAGCCCGGCGGAAGCGAGGCCCCCATGGCCGTCCCTGCCCTTGTGTTGGGAGGCTGGGTAGTGGGGCGGCTCCATTGCGGAGGCAGGGCTGGGGAGAGCAGGCCGCATGGAGGTGGGGATGGTGCTTGACCACCTGCTTAGCAAGGGCGAGGGCCCAAAAGCTCGGACCCGGGGCCGCCGGCGCTTCGCGGAGCGGAGCCGGGAGCCCACGCCGCCGCGCGCAGCCAGCAGGGGCCGCTGTCGCTCCAGAAGCCCCTCCCGCCGCGGCGGAGCTGCGCAGGCGCAGGAGTCCGGAACCTTGGTGGCCGGAACCTTGGTGCTCGGTTGCCGGGCCGGTCGGGCCGTGCTCGTAGCTCTTCCGGGTCCCCTTCGAACGGGCTCCCGCGGCCGGGTAGGTGGGTGTGAGGAAGGGAGCGGCGGCGCGAGGCCGGGGAGGGGCGCCGGGGGCGAGGGGTGCTGTGCGGGCGGCCCTGCTCACCCCCTCTCCTGGGCCCCGCGCAGCCTGGACTCGGCGCCATGTACGCCGTCTACAAGCAGGCGCACCCGCCCACCGGTCTGGAGTTCGCCATGTACTGCAACTTCTTCAGCAACAGCGAGCGCAACCTCGTGGTGGCCGGCACCTCGCAGCTCTACGTTTACCGCCTCAACCGCGACGCCGAGGTAGGGCCCTGCCCGGGACCGGGCAGCTCGCCCCAGCAAGGCCGCGCTCGCCGCCGTCCTGGCGCTTCGGACGCCCAGCAGCCCCGCAGGGCCGGGCCGAGTCGGCCTGAGGGTTTCCCAGACGGTAGCGCCCGAGGGCGCTTTTAGAAAGGCTCGTCGGCTCCCTGCTGGCCGTACTGCAGTGAAGTGCCTCTTGCGCCCACGGACACGGAGCCTGGCCGGAGGCCATCAGCCACACTCCCCCCCACGCCTTGTGAAACGTAAATATGAACGTCTCCAGTGTGCTAGGCGCCAGGGATAAATGAAACCTGCACACAGAGGTGGGTGGGGCAGCATTCCTGTTTCTTTTTTAAAGATCATTTTATTGGGGGCTCTGACAGCCCATAACGATCCATACATCAGTTGTGCCAAACATATTTGTACATAGGATGCCTTCATTATTTTCTAAACATTTACTTTCTATTTGAGCCCTTGGTACCAGCGCTTTCCTCCTCCCCGCGGCTGGGGGTGGGGGTGGAGAATGGCGGCATTCCTTAACAGGCATGTAAGCACATGGCGGGTTGCAGACTAAGCCCCCAAGAAATAAAACAGAAAACAAAACACAAACTCCAAGCCCACTGCCCTGGCATAGAGGCTGACCCCAAGCAACCCTGTAGGACAGAGTGGAACTGTCCCATACTTTGGGTTTCCAAGGCTGGGAATCTATAGAACCAGCCGAGCCCCTCCTTGTCCAGCTGAGCAGCTCCATTAGCTGCTGGTGCTTAGCCCAGTGTGTCACCAGCATGCCTGCAGTGGGTGGAGGAGGCACTGTTGCTAACACTCAACTGAACAGCGGTCTTTCTGAGGCTTAGTCAGGGGGAACATTCCCAGCTAATGGAACAAGGTCGAGTCCAGTACAGGCAGCCCTCTGGTTATCAAGGCCCGACTATTCCAGCGACCTTGGTGAAACCTATGTCAGCAGAAACTCAAGATAGAGAATGGTTGTGAAAACCAATGGACACTTAATGTGACAAGCATCCAAACACTAGTGTGATTGCTGTTGTACTGTGTTAAAGCTGTTCTAGTGTGTCTGGAAGCATCTCCATGTTTTTCTGCATGGGAAGGTATGCTGTATACTAAATTTGGCTGGCCAAGGCTGACTGAGGGTCTCAGCAAAGCTGCCTGTCCATGGAGAAAATGCAGGGGTGCTTGGCTGCCTGAGTAGAAGGCTTCTCCCAGGAGGCCTCGTCTTAGCAGGGGTGTGTGTGTGTGTGTGTGTGTGTGTGTGTGTGTGTGTGTTTGTGTGTGTGAGTGAGTGAGTGTTGTACTTATCCAGGCCAAGGGATGAGGACCAGGGGGTATTCTCAGCCAACTCCAGGCCTAGGCCAGAGGTTGCCGAGTGCAGTAGTGGGGTGCACCTGTCCATCTTGGCTGCAGTGTAGAGTGGACTGGCCCTCACAGTCCAGTGAGAGTCCCTGCTGGCACCCCGGAGGGCCCTGCAGCTGAAAGAAGCTGGCCTCGCTGGACGTCTACCCCGGGACGTGTGTGTGTGTGGGGTTTGTACTGTGCACACTACTGGATTGCTGTTCCTACTGCTAAGGCAGACAAAATAGAAAAGGATGCATCTATTCCTGTAAACTTTGTGACTGTGAAAGTTTTGTTATAAAAACAGCCGTCTTGGTTTGTTTTGAACTACAGCTGTGTTGAAGTCAGTATTTGACTCTCATGGAAGTCAGAATTGAAAAAGTGATCTTTTAAATTGGGAGGGGGGAGTAAGGGGCAACCGATCACGATGATCGACATGTGGCCCCATCCCAGGAGGACGAAGAGCAGAAAAGTGGGTGAAATTAGAGCAGTCGTTGTAAGACATGAAGAAAAGAATAATTTATAAATTATCAAGGTCCGTGGGTGAGGAAGGGTGGGAGAGGGAGGGAAAGGGAAAAACGAGGAACTGATGCCAGGGGCTCAAGTAGAAAAAATAATTTGGAAAAGATGATGACAACATATGTACAGATGTGTGACACAATGGATAGATGTATGGATTGTGATTAGATCTGTAAGAGCCCCCAATAAAATGATATTTTTAAAAAAGTGATCTTGCATATAAATATGCATAACTCCGTGTTGGAAGGGAGCTGTCACTGCTTACCCTTAGAGCTGGTTTTCATGCTCATTTTCCAGAAATTCATGTGATTTTTTAAAACTCTCATCAGTCATGATCTCTCTTCTGATACCACTCAGCTTTTATGACAAACTGTTAGATTTTTAGCCAACAGATTGAAGGCCCACCTGCTGTCGATTCACTCCTCTTTCTGAGAGATAGGGAGTGCCTCCAGTGTGCCAGGCTTGGCCACTATTGAAAGGTGGTCAGTTTGAACCCACTAGCAGCTTTGTGAGCGCATAGCGACCCCATGCTCAACAGAATGGAACACTGCCCAGCCCTGTCCCACCTCAAGTGGAAATTTGTTACTGTTACGTGCGAAGTCCGCTGTTGCTGCCCTGTTCAGTCCATCTCAGGGAGTCTTCCACTTTTTCTCTGACCACCTACTTTACTTAGTACGAGGCCCTTCTCCAGGGACTGGTTCCTCCTGGCACCAGGAGGCAGAGTCTCACCATCTTCCCTTCTGAGGAGCAGATCCATTGGTCCCACTGGCTTTCCAAAGGGTAGTTAATGTGCTTCAGCAACCCTGCGACTCAGGTGCATCCTTCTGCTCGTCTTCCATCGTCACCATCCAGCGATCAGGTGCACAGGAGGCGATTGAAAATAACCTTCGTCTTCAAAGTGCCATCTTTGCTTTTTGACACTGAAGCAAGAGATCTTTTGCAGCTGGTTTGCCCAGTGCAACACATTCTTTCATTTCCTGACCGCTGCTTCTGGGGGTGCTGGTGGTTTGTCCCCC